TGATTGTGGTGAAAATGTTTCCTTCTCACAGACATGTGGGATCAGTGCAGCAGTTCAGTAAAAACAAGCACATGATGACAAACAAACATTTCAATGTCAACATTTACTTATTTTAAAAATTGAGATAATCCAGACAGAAAAGTGCAGATAATGATTTGTGCAGAATTATGATGAGGTGAACTCTTAGAAACCTGTTGTACGGAGTTTAAATAAAAAATGATTGACAGAGTTAACCTCTCACACACATTAAACACAAACTCACTTGAGAACAGATTTAAACTAAGAAACTGTGAAAAGTTCAACTGAAGCTCCATGTAAAAAAACTTCAACAGACAAAGTTCAGTGACTGATGAAAGATTAAAGCTGAAACATGTTAAAGATAATAATAGTTTATTCACTAAGAGTTAGAAGAGTTCACTATTATTTGTAAAGTGCTTATTACTGTTTTCAAATGAATAAATGTCTGTTTAATCCCACAATAAGTTATTTTAACACACCATTATTTTATTATCTTAAGCCTCTATGCACAACATCTTTCTAAGTCAAACTTGTATTAGTTATATTCATGAAATACTTGTTTTTCAGTTTTTGAGGATTTATGTGAACTCGATGTTTGTTACTGACCTCAGAGATGAAGCTGCTGTTGACGAGTGAGAAGACGATGAGCAGATAAAACAGTCGAGTACGGCGCCATCACTCAGTTCACTGATAAAACACAAACATCCCATATATAAACAAAGGTTTTATATTTTTCAGTTTTCTCATCAGTTAGTGGACATTTACACAGAATAAAACTGAGTTGTAAATAAACTGATCATCACACAACACAGTTATTGATTAGAATAAGATTTGGCTGTAAAAACACAGATTTACAGAAACATTGATAAATTGAACACATATGACATGTTCATTATGATTGGTCATTTCGTTAAGATATCTATGTAAATTTTCAGCTTTGATATTAAATTAAAACTGAGCGAACAGTTGATTTGATATCAAAACAAAACAAAGTTTAGAATTAACACTAACACTGAGACCAGAATGAAACAGGGACAAATTAATACAGGGTTTTACCAGGAATTCCCTTTGTCGTGCATCATTCAGCTGCAGAGACTCGAGAGGACGATGACCAAGAAAACAGAATCAGTGACAGTGTGCTCTCGTCTCATGGGCTGATCAGAGTCTGCAAATAAACCGCAGGTCATTGACGTTTGTGATTGACCATTGAACTCTGCAGTTTGTTAACCCTAACCCGTGACAGGAAATACTAAATGTCACATTTTTACTATCAACAGGATTTGCTTGTATATTTGGTTGCATTAACCGTGATGGATTATTGATCATTGATTATTTAAGATATTAATAATCATCAAAAATCACAAATGTAAGATAAATCAGCAAATACATTTTTCATTAAAAGACGAGTGAGTCCAGTGGAGAATGGCTGATGAAGTCCAGGCCAGATGTGATTATTGAGATCTCTCCCATTGTGTGTCACAAAGGTTTCTCTCTTTCTTGTTCTGTGTGGTTCTGAAGGGGTGGGACCCAATCAATCAATCATTCACATTTTATTTGTCTCATATCCATAAATCCCAGTTTGTTTCATGGATGTTAACAAGGAGCAACGTCCTCTGTCCTTAACTCATCAAGAGTCAAACTACAGAGACACTTTCTGAGCAGTAACTGAAGCTCAGAGTCACATGTGAGGATCCATCTCCAGGACACGAGGACAATAGATGCTGAAGAACTGAAGACATCAATGTGGCGGTGGGGTATGGTTAGGGCACCAACTGCTGGACAACAGGGAGGAGTGGCTCAGCCGGTGATCCGACAGCTGTGCAGRATCAGGTGATCAGGGCAATCAATAAAAGCATGCTTGTAACCTGGTTCTGCCTTTTGTAGTAGGCTGCGTCCTGGGACCGAAGGAGCGGCAGACGTGTGTGTGTGGGTTGGAAGACCCCGACAAGATATCTAGCGATACATATATATGTGTGTGTGAGTGGTTGCCAGGGGAGGCAACTGGAAATAAAAGACTTTACAAACGACATTCTCTCCTCCCGTCCTTCCCCGGAGTGGGCCGAGTATCCCACAATCAACACTACAACAGATTCACTACATTAGAAGAAACAGTTTGTAACTTCATGTTTAAAGTATTTGTACATGAGAACATGTCTGACAGAGATGAAGGAGCAGACACATGAACTGAGGAGTTACTGATGGTAGAAGATGAGGAGACATGTTGTGTATCAAGAAGTCTCGGAAACAAAAGAGAAGCTCCATGTGTCCCCCGACATTCTAGAAGAGCTGGTCCAAGACAGACCTGAACCAACTATAAGCTTTAGAGAGCTTCTCGACAGATCAAGGTCAAACCAGACCTTTCTAAGATGTAGTGATCATCTGGGGATGAAGTTAATTTTTTCTAGTTTTTTCTAGGGCGATTAAATGAAGCAGATGTGATAAAGTTGTTTTGTGTTTGTTGTAGTCTGAGTGGAAGTAGCATTGTCCCAACTGTCTGTGGGTTTTTCTTCAAGGGGCTAGGTAAGTTTTTCTTAAACTAAAATCTGGTGCATCTGTTGCCTTGGAAACTGAAATCTGCTCAATGTTAAGATTTTTCTGTGATGTGTGTGTATTGACATGACTGATACTTACACCACATAACCGACATGTTGAACCTTGAAGTGTCCCCTCAGTGTATGTCCCACTGCATTTTGGAGGACAATGATGTCATCAGTGTATTTCTTGTGGTCCAGGTGTTTCTTGAGAAAATGTGGCTCCAGAAGGTCGGGGGAACTCTTTGAGGAGGTAGTGACAGTCACCTTGTAAAGCTTGATGTTTTTCAAACTCCATTAAAAACCAGTCAATTTCAAAAGACAAGTTAAAAAAAAAGAGTCTTCCATTGTGCTGTTGGCTTTAAATGCACATAAAACATTGTTAATGTTCAGAATGCCCACGTCCAAGAGGTTATTTTTTAGAGCCATGTCTGTTGATAGTCTGTCTGTCTGCTCCTGGAGTGTCAAAGTGTCTGTATCTGTAATCTGTAGAAACTTACCACATGTTTAACCTCCCAAAAACATGATCAATTATAAAAACTAAACATCAACTTTTGGTGCATTCCCACAGCAACAGCATTGAACAAAACCACACAAGATTTATAATCATCATCAACCAAAGGTCTTCTGACTAAATTTCAGATGGATGTGGTTGACCTGCTAGGAGGAGTACATCACCCTACAAAACATTTCATTTCTTGTTACCAGTAGGGGGAGCTGACAATGATTAAATATTGGCATGTAGATGCGTATACGGCGAGACTCTTATCAAACATGTGAAGTTTGGTGCAGATCGGATAATGTCTACTGAACTACTTCCTGTTTCATGGAGAAAACCATTTCATGTAAATTTTTTACAGATCTGAATTTTGTGCAAAGTTTCAGCAAAAGTCATTTTAGGCCAAATATACGATTCATATGGAGGAGAAAAAAATAATAAATTCAAAACCAGCAGTCGCTGCTTGGGCTCAAATAAACAAAAATTAATCAAGATAAATGACAATAAATAATGATCAATAAAAACAAATAAAGATGAATTAAATATAAAGTACAGTAAAAACAATTAAAGATAAGTAATAATAAGATAAAGATTGATTAAAATACTTGTGTACGATTCCTTGGAGGTTGCCGTGTCACTCTTTGTGCCAATGCGTCCTCCTGAGCGGGTGTGAGCAGGTAATATATATATACATATAATATATATATCACCTCACCCTGCACCAACTTCATGTGCAACCAGTACTTCCTGAGGAGGGGCGAGAGGATCAAAGACCAAAGGAGCTTGATGGGGATAATGCATCAGGTTCTGCCCCAAGATCCCGATGGTAACCGCCCAGCCAGTCCGGCTCAGTAGTGACACAGGGTCTCCATAGTAACCACAAAGCCAGTCCCAGTAACCATGGCAATCAATGTCAAGGTGCATTACCAGCATCTACTGAATGTAACTTCTTCTTTTGAGTGTGTCAGTGTGTAAATGTGTGAATTTAAACATTCAACATTAATACATTTCTCCAGGCTCATGGGGATGAAGAGAACTGATCATTCATGACTGATTACACGTGTGTAGCGTGAATTCAGGTAATCTGGGACATTGGCTAATGTAGCACACCAAAGCATTCAGTCTGTTAATGTCCTGTCTAACAAAATCTAGTCAACAGGACTTTTACTTAGCGAGGAATGTTAGGAAGGATTTCAGTGTGTGTGTGTAAACACCAGAGAAAATCTAAAGATTATATCGATCAGAAAATGATTCCCCATCATAAGATGTCACCTGATCAGTGATGTCATGATGATGTCACAGCCATGTAACAAAACTCTATTCTACTGGACAACAGGCATGACCTGAAGCTGATGATCCATTTATGATCATATGGTAGGGTTAGGGTCAGATAATGATGTCATCATGAATTTGCCTTTACAATCAATATCATTAGAGATGATTGACAGCTAATTTGACCAATACTGATCATCATATGGGATAAATGACATAATGATGACATCATCATCAAATGGCATCATTACAAGATAAAAAAGTTCTTATTGATTGGTTGGTATATAAACAGCATTGATCCTCTGATGAATGACACCGCCAGTTAAATAAAGACAATGTGTCGACAACAACTGAATTCATCTATTTGTGNTATTCTTATATACTGTCTAACAATAACATTACCATCATATCATTATTACTATTATCATGATATTGCCACTGCACTACTTGTCTGCCTATTCATCTTGTGTTTCTGTTCTTTTTACCTAAATGTTTTGTTTTGTTCTATTGCATTGTGTTTTGTTGTGTTCCGATACACAAGCTGCTATGACATCTTAATTTCCCTCCGGGGATGAATAAAGTACTCTATCTATCTATTACTACAACTATATTTCCCCTCACTCAAGTTGCTAACACCACTTGGAACTTAGCAATAAGATCCATGTGCCTTAATGGATGATCGTCAATATTGAGATGGTGACATTAATATATAGATTATGATTAAATCAGCCCTCATGAGAAAAAAAAAAGAAAGTGTCAGAATAAAATTTTAAAAACGATGTTGCAATTATGTGTTTAATTGTGTGCAACACATTAGCATTGTCACTGTGAACATGTTAGCATGAACACACTAGCATTGTCACTGTGAACATGTTAGCATGAACACACTAGCATTGTCACTGTGAACATGTTAGCATAAACCAGGACCTGAAGAAGACATGTACAAAAGGAGGAAACAGGAGAAAGATGAGTCATTACATCATTAGACGACTCTCTCAGTTTCTCATTTGACAGGAAGTCAGAGTTGTCAAGGAGAGAAAGTCCCTGTAATGCTCCATCCTAAACAGCTGCAGCGCCACCTGCAGGCTCTGCTGTCATCTCATCAGCATCCCCGTCCTTCAGGAGGTGCTTCCTGTAAGCTTTCTGGATCACTGTCGCCGCCACCTCCTCCTGTTTCCTCTGCAGGGTGCTGCTGATTGGTTCATATGACATCTGCAGGAAACAGTGATGAATAAAGAGTGAAGTCTTCTGTGTTTTCTGTAAAACTGAAGAAACTAAAGATGAATAAATATTGTTCGTCTGGCTCACTTCATCAATATCTTTTTAATTATTCTGCACAAGAATAAAGAGAAACTTGCAAACGTTATCTATAAGGTCAAACTAGGAGCTGAGTTCAGATAATAGGGTAACAACCAAGACTAGAACAGAATCGAATAGAACCTTGGACAAGTTATTGATCATGAACTTTTCCTCCATTCTGGCTTTGAGAGAGTCCATCTGTCCTCGATCACCAAATATCTGCACACACATATAACATATGATATTAAAAAGTAAAAAGTAAAACTAACAATATTATAATAAGAAAAAGAAGAACAATATTTGATTTTATCCCATTAAATTTGTATAGTACCAAATCACAGCAGATGTTATCTCAGGGCACTTTACAGAATAAGAATAGCCCTGAGAATATCCAGTGGAGAGTAAATCATAATAATAATGTTACCTGTGCAGTGAGAGCAAACAGGACGTCCACACAGTGAATCTTGTCTCCAGGAAGCAGAGGAAGATCCATGTGGATCAGTTTGAAGGTGTTTGGTTTGGGAATCCTCAAAGGATCCTGCAGAGCATCGCAGAAGTCCGACAACTTACTGTGGGAACCCGGAGACAAAGAGGATTTCTGCTTCGGTGACCAATTGCCTCTTTCATCTGAGTTTTATGATCATATTCTCAGAGTTAAAGTTGAATCAGATCAGATGAACATATAATTTTTTGTGCAAAGCTGGGACTCACCTGTATGGGATGATGTGTGAGTTGTCACAGTCAAACCTTCTCCAGGTTTTATAAAACATTAGCAAATCCTCATCACTCGGCGTTTCTGTGTCGTACATGTTGAAGGTCTCGAGGACGACAGCTGTGTACAGGAGGACCACCAACAGGAGGGACAGGGTGATGTAGGAGGTGATGAAGATGATTCCCACAGTCGGGTGGACACAGTCGCCTCCGACTGGCGTATCTTTGTCCGGGTCGCAGTCCAGTGGTGTGTTTAGGATGGGACTCAGCACGGTGTTCCATCCAGCCATTGTGGTCATCGTAAACATACAGATCATGCTGTTCAAAAATGTTTCAAAATTAAACATGTCGTGGAACCTTGCCGTGTTCTTCACATGTGCAAAGCTTAACATGCCGAAGACAGAGAAGGTGAACATGAGGAGGAATAGGAGTAGGCAAATGTTAAAGAGGGCAGGAAGTGACATCACCAAGGCCAAAAATAATCTCTTGATTCCCCGCATACAAGGAACTAGATGGATGATCCGAGTGACAGGAGCCAACCGCAGAAGAGCTAATACCTTTATGTCGATGAAATATTTCTCACATATGTCAGAGAATAGAAAACCTGGAAGGAAGGAAGAAACAAACAAACAAACAAAGAGTAACTCAATGTACGTTCATGGCAACATTTTATTTCCTGTGTACTTCCCCAATGCATCATGGGAACTTTATAATCATGCTCAAAGAGAACATTAGTCAGCATTTTGACGTAGAAGCGCAAATAATTACATCACCATGGAAATGGGTCGACTCACCTACAACCAAAATTAAAAGGACCACGAAGTCGAGGACGTTTAAGCAGTCAGAGAAGTAGTGCTGTCTGAGAGCGATGATCTTCAGGAGGAACTCAATGAGGAAGATGATGATGAAGACAAAGTAGAGCCAGAACAGAATCAATTCCATCTCCATGCTCTGCAAGTCTGTCTCCATCATCAGAGTCACTGTGTACAGGCAGATCACTATCACCATGAAGATCTCAAAAGAATGTTTGGTCACCAGGTCAAAGAGACGAGCCTGGCACTGATTCTGGAGAGAAACAGAAAGTTACGCCTGAGGACACTTCACAAACCCTGAGGAGACGAACAGGTTGAGATCTTTTGAGAATTAACAGATGGACATCACACACCTGACACCACACACCCGAGATCACACAGCTGACATCAAACACACTGAACTCACCTGAGGTCGAGGGACACTTGGACGTTTCCTGGAGAACAGTTTCTTCATGCTGATGGAAAAGTTATGCTGCTCGTCTGTCATGAAAAAATGTTTCCCTCCAAAGTAAAGATGAAAAGAACCAGGATCAAATTAACTTGACATTCAACAGCTACTGTGTGTGTATACAAGTGTGTGTAACAGTGTTGATACATGTAATCAAACCCCTTCTCAAAACACCCACCCTGGACCCAGACTGATATCCATCCTCCCCTTCCTGTCTAAAATCCTCAAGAAGGTTGTAGAAAATCAGCTGTGAGATTTTCTCCAGGAAAGTCATCTGAAGACTTTAAGTGTTAGAACTCATCACAGCACGGAGACAGTCTTAAAGTCAGTAATGACCTTCTCATTACAGCAGCCCACTGCTCCAGTATATGTGTGTACATGGCATCTGTCAATGTGTGTTTCTATGCATGTGCGTGTTTCGACAGGTGCCAACTGGATGGGTTAAATGCAGAGAACAATTTCATGTATGCATGTAAAAAGTGTTAATGTGACAATAAAAGTAAATCTTCTTCTTCTTCTTCTTCTCATAGCTTCAGGTGTTTGTGTCTGTCCTCGTCCTGTTAGATCTCAGTGCAGCATTTGACAGTATCAATCATCACATTTTATTACAGACACTAGAACAGTTCATTGGCGTTAAAGGAACCGCCCTAACCTGGTTTGATTCCTGTTTATCAGATCAATTCCAATGTGTGCAAATGAATGATGAGTTATGTGTGCACACCACAGTTAACCACGGTGTTCCTCAGGGTTCTGTGCTCGGACCAATTTTATTCTCATTATATATGCTTCCACTAGGAAACACTATCATGACACACTCTGTAAATTTCCACCGCTATGCAGAAGACACCCTGTTATACTCAACAAAACCAGAACAGTGTCATCAATCAACTAAACGTCATGCTTCAAGGACATAAAAACCTGGATGAGCTATAATTTACTCTTATTAAACTCAGATAAAACAGAGGTTCTAATACTCGGCCCTAAACACCTTAGAGATCATTATCTAATGATGACACTGACCTAGATGACATTACCCTTGCTTCCAATGAAACAGGAAATTGGGAGTCATCTTTGATCCCTATTTGTCCTATGATTCTGACCTAAAACTAATTTCTAGGGCCGCCTTCTTTCATTTATATATCTCAAAAATCAGACATGTCTCAAAAAGATGCAGAGACACTAGTCCAGGTCTTTGTCACATCCAGACTTGATTATTGTAATTCCTTATTATCAGGCTCCAGCAGTGAGTCGTTAAAGACTCTGCAGTTTGTCCAAAATGCTGCAGCACATGTCCTGACAAGAACCAGGGACAGAGACCACATGTCTCCTGTATTAGCTTCACTACACTGGCTTCCTGTTAAATTAAGAATAGAGTTTAAAATCCTCCTCCTCACCTACATTAATAATATGACACCATCAAACCTTAAAGAGCCTCAAAGTACCATTTCACCACTAGAGCCCTGAGCTCCCAGAATTGAAACTTACTTGTCCCTCAAGTCTCTAAAAGTAGAGGAGGAGCCAGAGCTTGCAGCACCAGGCTCCTCTCCTGTGGAATCATCTCAGGTTCAGTTCAGGAGGCAGACCTCCTCTCAGTGTTTAAGAGTCGGCTTTAAACCTTCCTTTATGATAAAGCTTATAGTTAGAGCTGGTCCAGACTCGTCTTAGATCAGCTCTGGGTTCTGCTGCTGTAGCTTTAGAATGTGGAGGAACACATGACACATGGAGCTTCTCTCAGCTCCTCCTCTCTCCTTATCACATCAAATAACTTAATGTCTCATCAATACATGTTATTGACTTGACTTCTTCCCCGGAGTCCCTGTGCCTTATCGTTCACAGATCCAGGATCAAAGCTGTAGCCACATCATGGATCATGATGGTGGATCACAAATCAGAGATCGTGATCATAATGGCGGATCCTGTATCGTGCTGGCATTTGATCTTAGTGGTGGACCATGATTTAGGTGGCAGCTGAGGTGGATCCTGATGGCAGCAGTGGATCATGATGATGGATTCTAATGGTGGATCCTGAACGTGGACTATGATCACAACAAGACTGCTTGATAAACAATATGTCTCCTCAGATACTCGACCATTACTGACAATAACTCCTCAATTCATTCACCTTCCATCCAGCTTCAAACTGTTTACTCTAACCAGCGCTGTAACTACTATTTCTCTGATGTTCTCATTTACACGTGGCCTCTACTGCACTTGTGTCCGTCCTGGGAGACGGATCCTCACGTGTCTCTCTGAGGTTTCTATGTTCTTTTCCCTGTTAAAAGTTTTTTAGTTTTACTCTTGTTGAGTTAAGAACAGATGATGTCATAGCTTGTTAAAGCCCATGAGAAACATTGTGATTTGTAAATATGAGCTTTACAAATAAAATTTGATTGATTGATACATATCTTGTGTCTCAGCTGATCCAGCGAGTGGATGAAGCGTCTGATGAAGAGGTTGGAGGTGAAGAAGCAGCCGATGATGATGAAACTGATGAAGTAGATGTACATGTACACATTCGACTCGTACACTGGCTGAGACAGCATCTATAAGTACACACACTACTATATAACATATACACATATATACATACACACACACTGGTACATAACATAAATATACACATCTATACATACACAAGTTGTTATGGAATTTTCATAGACACTGTCTCGTGTCCTCTCTGGGGCAGAGGGCAACAGGAAGTTTAGGAAGTGCGAGAGCTTGGCGAAGGTCAAAGCCTTCACTCACTAGACATCACAGATATGAGACTGCGTAATCAGGCAACACTGTCTCCAGAACCAGAAACTACATTTGATTGTTTAGGAACGAGCAGACCCACAGATTAAATGATCTGTTGGGATTTAAAGTGTGACTGCAGGAAAGCAGACTTCAGAATATGAGAGAGCATCATGCTCAGATGTTGTGTGGATGAATTCTGATTTTCTCCTTGGTCAAGCATCAATAAATATTTCAGCATAAGACGTCAAAGGACTCCTGAACGCTTTCTTCATTGATGAGGTGACCATTGATCAGCAGATTTTCCACAACACAAGCATATAACACATATGCACAAACAGACTCGTACAAAACATAAATATACACATTTTTACATACATACAGTAGTTTATAACATATATACACATACAGACATGTATGTGTATATATGTACACAAGTATATAACATACATACACACACTGACACACAGACACATACTGACACATAGATACATACACACTCACACACACACACACACACACATACAGACATGTATGTGTATATATGTACACAAGTATATAACATACATACACACACTGACACACAGACACATACTGACACATAGATACATACACACTCACACACACACACACACACACACACACACACACACAGTACCTGTCTGGTATCCACTGCTGCATACATGACGTCTAACCATCCATTAAAAGTTGCCTGATGGAGAACAACAGAA